GTCCTTCCTCTTTTTTTTTTTTAAATATGTTTCTTTTTTAGTGTTGCCTCCATACAAACAGAACACAAAACCATCAATGTGAAATGAATTCCAATGAGATTCACCAGATTAGTCCTTCCTCTTTTTTTTTTTTAATATGTTTTTTTAATGTTTCTTTTTTAGTGTTACCTCCATACAAACAGAACACAAAACCACCAATGTGAAATGAATTACCAGGTTTCTCCTTGAAGAGTACCTAGAACTTCTTCAGAGACAGATGAAAGGGCAAGAAAACAATAAAAACAATTCCAAAAATCCACCAGTGTGCCAACATTACACTAAAAGGCTAAACAAACTATTCTTTTTTTCTCTCCACTAGGATGCAATGACTCCTCATATAACAACAAAATTAGCATGTTTTGTCATGTATATCCTCTGAATATTATTTTTCCTGTACTATGGTTAATAACTGAACTATGGTTTTGTTTATCTAACTCAAGATGGGACCTTACCTTTTCATGGATGGCTCTCCGGTTTGACGGCTGCACCAAGACCTTGTATCCCATCTGTGTCAATTCCTTAACATGCTTTGGTGCTAGAGGTGCTCTTCTTTCCCAGGCATTAACATCTTCTCTCCTGATTGCCAGCACAGACTTACGATGATGCCAACACTTAGCCTGGTGGAACGCACACCTACCGTTTGTGTGCCTAAAGGCTCGGAGCATGGTGAAGCCTGATGGCAGCAAAGACAAAGTAGTAAAATAATGCATGTATACGTATGCTTCAAACATTGCTTGTGCAAAAGTTCTGGTGTCCTTTAACATCTGCTGTAAAACATAAACCAGATTCTTTATACTCTAGTTACACTCTACTTTTGTGAGACATTAATTTACTTTCAGTATACTTCGTTGCATCTCAGTTTGGTGGACTGTCCTTTCAAATTGTTTGTACTAATGTAAAGGAAGGCTTTTAATGTGTTCAGTGTACCAAGTTTTTAATTACATGGCTTAAAAAGAATGCTGGAAACTTAAAGATACCAAACAAATTCATTTGCAAGCATAAACATGCAAAGACCAAGCACTTATCAAAGCTTGCATCAAGAACAATAAGAAGTAACAAACACACAGAAAGTAGAACATAGGCTATAATGCAAGCAGTTGATTAAAAGAGAAAACTCAATATGCAACACCAACACTAAGTATTTTTACATATCTAATGCTTACACAAGCTGAAAATGGAAGGTAAGGACAAGACCTTAACTACTGCTTAGCAGTCAGCATATGTGTGGCCAAGAGCAACAGGTTTTCTTCCTAATCAAAATTTTATAGAATCATAGAATGGTTTGGCTTGGAA